AGCATAGAGAAGCCTTCTCATAATCTCAACTTCACTCTGTACCATAGGTCTTCTTGCCATCGTGGTCTTAATAGCCGTCATGTCTATACATTTCCTCCTTAAAAATGTTATTAGACTTCCCTTTCATTGCATAGGCTTGAGAAAGTGTACTCTCCTGCTTAATCCTTGGTTATGCTTCTGATTTCTAACCCGTGGGAAGGTAAGGAGTGGGTGGGGCATTCTTTTCAAAAGCTGCAACCCTGGTCACATGTTTCTTCTTGTTGGGCTCCATCTACATAGTAATTAACCAAACAATAGGAGTCAGTAAACTGGAAAACAGAATAACTTTAGCTGAATGTGAGGAAATCTAGGGAAAAAGAGTAAGCTTAGCTTAGCCTGAATCCAATTAGACTTGCCTCAGAGTTCAGGGGTTAAGCCTTTTGTGATTCCAGTCAGTCTCTCCCAACTTTCCAAGACTGAGGCTCTTCCTCTTTCAGCTCTCTCTGAGTCATCTTCTCCCTGACAATCTATGGCATTCTCTTTCCCCTTACTTGATTTTATTTTCCTTTCATTTCTTATCACTACCTTAAATTAAGTTATATATTTGGTTACTTATTATCTGTGACTTCATTAGATTGCTACCTCCATGCAGGGAGGAATTTGTCTTGTTCACTGCTCTATGTCGGGTACCCAAAATAGTACTTGGTAATGGCCAAGGTTTGATAACTCTTTGTTAAATGAAAAAAAAAAATGCATCTGGTTGCCCTTTACTATGGTTTTGGAGAATCTTTTCTTATTTTTTGATTAATATGTCCTTTGATTTCAGATTTTAAAAAATACACATGCACACACAGTATATATCTCCAATAAAACATGTTTTTGGCTTTTCTTGTGTTCATCTCAGCACATCTTTTGTGCGATGTCTTCTTCCTTTTCTCCTTTCTATTATGAATTCACCTAAAAAAGATACTCTCTGCCCTCAAACTATTTCTAACTGATCTATCCCAGTTTAGATCATGCATATCAGGATGTCAAAAATATTATTTAATGTTGTTCTTTTCTATTATATTTGAATATACAATCAACTACCTTGTGATCACTGAACTATGAATTGAGGCTAAAAGATGCCTCATTCTTCCTATGCGTAATGATAACCAACTTTATTTTGATTACATTTATGAGACTTATACTCTAAGAAAAACACAGATATCCTTACTTTCCAGTTTTCCATTTTTGCTTTTTATTATTTTTCATTAAAACACCTTAAAGATAGCGCAGACAAAACTGAATTGTTAGATGGCAAGGGATGTTCTGTGATACTTGAAATCTTCATAGATGAGCAGATATATGAATTTGGCATTGTGAAAGTTTCACAATTAGGTATGTCAGAGTAGAACGTGCACAAGTTCCGGTGCTACAAAAGTCTAAAGTACACAAATCACAGATCACCTGTTCTCTGCAATTTGGAATTCAAACCCAGCTACCACTAACAAGGTGTATTTCCTAGAGTAAGGGCTTCCTCTGTACCATCAGCAGAGAAATGAAGACCCCAAAACAGCTACTCCCAGAGTTGTTGAAAAAATCAAATGATACAGTTCCTGTGAGATGCATATGATAAAGATGTTATTGCTATGAGAGAAAGAGCAAGGGACAAGGGAAGAGGACTATGTAATTTCCTGAGTCCTTAGGCACTGGAGGTGATCCATGTCCTTGGTTTGGTGAAGAAGTCAGGGAAGCTGGTCTTGCTGATAAAGAGGTACACAATCCCTTTGGCTTTGGTATTCACAACAATGGGATCATAACTCTATTAAAGTGTTTCTTTGCCATATTTTTTCATTTTTTCATAAAATTTTTGTAATATGCAAAAATACAAATAGTATGAGTGTATGCATATGTATAATTACCATTTCATAATTGTAAACAGGTCCTTGATTTATCATTTTGGTTTCAGTTACTATCTTTCTCTAGTAATCATGGCTAGGATTTCTTCTTCAATGATTTCCTCTTCTCCCATAACCAACTCAGGACCGTACATTTAGATTTTGAGTCTCCTGCTATCCATGGGCAGACTAAGGCCCTGAGAGAAGATGCTCTGAAGATCATTCTTAGGTGGGAGAGTGAACCCCTATATACTGATGTTGTGCCCAAGATTGTGAATCTGAGAAGCCGACACCGATGCAAGCACACGTGGGGTTTATTTACAAGCTCGATGCAAGCACACGTGGGGTTTATTTACAAGCTCGAGCTTGGGTCCAAGTATACGGGACACAGCAGAGCAGGGACTTGGACCCCGAGGAGGTAGGTTTCAGCTTAGTTTTAAGGGCTGGTCTAGGGGACCTCCAGAAAGGGGGGGGAGAATTTTTCAAGTTCTGTTTACATTCTGATATGGGGCTTTCAAGGGCATTGAGCTCTGTTCTCATTCTAATAGGGGCTTCCTGCCCTTGGCTTGGCCTCTGTTCTTATTCTAATATGGGGCTTTCTAGTTAAGCTGTAAGCTGTTTTCTTCCTGTAACTGAAGTAATGTTTAAATTTTAGCTCTTATTCACAGGGGCTTGGGATGCCTGTCCCTGTGCTAACGCTGAACTTAAAGTGGAATGGCCTTAATTTTCTCGGCCTCCACACTGATACTCAGGTCCTGGAGATTTCTATTTTATAAAAGAAGTGTTTTTACTATGTCAGCCTCTCTCTGTTTGGGACTTGTTTTTCCCTCCAAGGTGACCAGAGATAAGGAGAACGCTTAGCTGACTGTTTTTGGTTCAGCACTGCCTGTGTCTAAAGCAACTGATGCCCAACTCCTTGCCCTCACATGTTCTTCTCCTTACCCCAGAGCCCGGATCCCAGGGCTGCTGGGGCACACTGAGCTTTGTGCGGAGAGAGGAGAGAGTAAGAGAGAGCAGTCAGGGTCCCCCAGGAAGCCCCTGTGGCTGATCTGACTCATCCCTGGAGCTCACTATTCCTGAACTTGATTATGGTGCTGGGATGTGTCCAAGTCTCCAGTGGAGACAGTTGCCCCTTGGGAACCACTATCATGCTCCTAGTCAACCCTGCTGCAGCACACCATCAGTACTGAGAAGAACTGAAGGCTTTTGGTTTCAGGTCTTCCACCAGTACCTAAAGAGCAGGAGGAAGGGGATACAAAGAGGGGCCTAGGTTGGATAGGGTGTTTCCATCCTGCATTGTGTTGTCTTTGTTTACTGTGGACTGCCTCGAAGATGCCAGGTTTGGAAACTGTGCCTACAGGGAGTTTGAGAGAGACTTCTTGGTTCCATCAGCACATTACTCTTGCCTTGTTGTCTACTGGGTACCACCCACTTATCCTGAGTCCTGCATCTGAACCTGGGTGGTGGGATGGGATCTATCACTGGTAGTTCCCTACCTCCCCCTCAGTTTCTTTCATGCCTTCATAGCATTTGTCATGGTTTTTCATTGTATACTTATTTACTGTCTGTTTTTCCAACTTGTCTGTAAGGCATGAACTGTTTTGTTCACTCCTGTATCCTTTGAACACCCATGGTATATGGCACTGTTAATCCTATTTTTCTGAATGAATGAGTGAATGGATAAATGATTTGAGTTGCCTGTGTCCTATTGCTCACTATGCTATTGCTGATTTAGGTACAGCAATGAATCTCTTGACAGGACTCCACTCCCTGTATTGATCCATTGTGTTATCTCTCTTGGGAAAGACCTAGGGGTCTTCTGTCCCACTTTACTCCTTCTGCCCTTCCCTAAGAGACCTAGGTTCAAGGAAATTTCTGTCTGGATTTCGTCTTGATGCATCTCTGTCTTCTTTTTGAGCCTTTAATTCTTGTTGCTCACTGCTCTGCTTGCCCACTGTGCTGTTTACTCTGTCATCTGCCCTCACATAAGCCTGTGGATAAGGGGATATACTCAGTTACTTTCTCTGCTTGCCTTTCTGTCCCATTCCTCACCTCTCCTCCTTCATTCACTTGAGAAGCTAGGCATATCTCAGAACACTGGTGACCAAACACTGCTACAAACAGTCATGGTGATGATACTGCTAACTCCAATGAATTCCCAATTATTAAAAACGAGAGCTATTCCAGGATGGGAAAGTTGTTTCAAAAGTCAAAAAGTGTAAGGATAATACACTCAGAAGAACTGAGAGGGTTGATGTGGTTAGACAATAAGATGCATAACAAGGGGACTTTCAAATGAGTTCCAAGTCTCTAGAGGGCTATTATACAGAGACAGGTGAGCTCTCTGCTAGTTGACACTGTACGGTGATCTGAACAATAGAACCTACAGCACAAAGGATTTGGACTTGCCTTGGCCAGTCTACTTGTGATAGCTAAGGCTGCCCTTGGTCTGTTTTGATGGGGCACTGCATCGTCTCCTGATAGGAGGAGATGAGTTTTTCTCCACCAGTGGGACACAGGACCCCTGGACCTTAGAGAGGTTGTCTGAGGCAAGGGAGGAAGCAGAATGCTCCAAGGGGTACTATGGAGGCTGCCCTGAGGAAAATCTGCTCTGTAGAAGAGCCAGATACAGTGGAAAGCTAGTTGGACATTCATGTTGAACTTTACCTGTTAATTTCTGCTTGTATTAACCAATCAGTTTTGATAAATCAAAACCTGGGATGTAAAATTATTCAATAAGTACATCAGGTTCTAAAACATACTCCCGTGGGCCTGTTCTGAGCTGTGGGCCAGATCACTGAGTTGGAATTCAAGTGGTAACCCAGAGTGTAGAAACAACATGAAGGTGATGAAAGTACATGATAGACATATAGGAGGGCACCAGACATGCAAGCTGAGGAGGGAGGCAAGCTCTTGAATAGGAAGATAAAAGTCTAAGGTGAAATGTCTAATAGGCTGGAGAGAGTTTGGAGGAGGAAGGCAAAATGGGTTCAGTGGAGTGTGCAATAATGGGGGCTGTGCTGGAAGTCCATTTGCAAAGAACGTCAGCTAGCATGGGGTAGAGTAAAGACTGCTGCACTGAATGGAGTATTCCTGACCACAAAGTCGTCCCTGAATCAACTCTTTCACATCTGATTCTAGGACTTCAAGTGTTTTAGACTGTGGAACATCCGGATGCTATGTCACAGACATCTGTCAGGTAAGAAATATACTGCTCTTCAAGTGATGGTGAATAAACCAGAATAGGCCCATGGGTTGAATTTATTATTCTTTTTCAGGCATTTATGACACCCACAGAATGTGATACATGTCAATATGGGGCCACATAGGGAGAGATCACAATCAGGGAAGTGGTAGTGGAGGAGCAGCAGCCTCCTAGGGACCTGACCTCCCCGCTTCCCCCCTCCCTTAAAAGAGAAGGAGGATTGAGGGCTGAACCTCTAACTGGTCCTGCAGTGTTAGAGACCCAGATTAGATCCTTTCTGCAAGAAAAGGGACACCCTCCCTGCCTCTTTCTCATGGCTGGTAATCAACAGCAGATCATGGAAATTTACTCTTTAATACATTTCTTAATTTGCCATTTACTCAATACTTTCTCTATTTGCAGACCTACACAATAGGCTTTGGATCCTGTGTCCAGAAATTGATATGGTGTTTGAGAATTTTGAAGATTCTGTATATTTGGCATTGCAGTCACTCTAAACAAATAGGTATTGGAGTTAGAAAATCCTGGGTTCAAATCCACATGTACATTTATGAATGGTATGACTCGGGATTGAGATCTTTAAACATCCTGAGCCTCAGTTTTTATTACCTGTGATGTGGAGGCAGTCACTGTCTCACAGCTTTGTCTCAGCACAGAAACCAGTGCGTGGTGGCACTCAGTGCATGAGGTCTCCCCATTCACCACTCCAAAACCACAAGGCTGTATCAAAACTGTTTTGACAACTGAAATTTCTTTTCTTTTTTTTTTTTTAAAGATTTTATTTATTTATTCATGAGAGACACAGAGAGAGAGAGGCAGAGACACAGGCAGAGGGAGAAGCAGGCTCCATGCAGGGAGCCCGACGTGGGACTCGATCCTGGGTCTCCATGATCACACCCTGGGCTGCAGGCGGCGCCAAACCGCTGCGCCACCAGGGCTGCCCGACAACTGAAATTTCTTTTCTAATTTTGTGTTGAACTAATTAGACAGCTAAACCTGATCTGAACTTACTAATGTGAGGCTATTTATAGCCTCTATCTGTTCCATTAAATGTAAATATTCATGTAATTTGCTGCAGAAATAGTACTGTATTTGATTAGATGGTACTGCCCAGGCCCTCTGGGATTGGATTCTGAAACACACCTGGTTTCATCTTCCCTTTCTGATAAGAAATTTTCAGGTCATGATTGCCTCATTACTTTGTTAAAGCCCATAAGGCACACAGACAAATAATCATTTAAAGAACACGTGTTTCCATTTGGCAAACTTTTCTTTTCAAGACTAGGAATGAAAACTTAATAGATATACTTATTCATTTGTTTAACATTTACTAAGTACTTACATTGTGTAGGATGTTGCTAGGTATTGTGAGGGCTATAAAGATGGAAAGAGAGCCCTGCCACTAAAAAATAAATGTTTGAAATAAGGCTGGCATAAGAATAACTATAATGCAAGGCAGATATATAACTTTCCCAGTTGGGAATTCCAGGAAAAATGAGTTCACATCTGAATGGGGAATGACGCTTCTTAAAGGAGAGACATTTGAGACAGTCCCTGACGAGGTAGGTAAGAATTTGTCAGGCAAAGAAGGCAGGACAAGGTATTCTATGCATAGAGAACAATAAGGAAAAGTTTATGAAAACATGGTGGAATTAACATTTGGAGAATGGAAGTGGTCCAGCCTGGTGATCGCCCAAAGTGTGTGGTATGAAAGAGGTGATGGTAAGGCTGGAGGGGTAGGTGGGTAAAGCTGTGCAAGACTGTCATTGCTAGTGGGAGTATGTGCTTGATTTAGCAGACAAGAGAAGGAATAGAAGTTGCTGTTGGTTTTTAAAGTCGTTTTTTTTTTCTCATCACTGAAGAAATATACATTTAAAGGAAAAGAATTCGGAAAACAAGATAAAGATATAGATATACATTGAACTGGCTATAACCCAAGATAGACACTGTTAATAATTTAAAATACATCCTTCTAGCCCTTTTCTGTATGGAGGTAGATGGCTAGCTAGTTTGATTAATCAATTTTGAGAGCAATGTATAAGTGAAATCACATTGTCTCAGATTATTGAAAAAAGAGCCTGTGGACTTAATATTTTAGAAACATAAACATAACAGTAGTGTATGTATAGGTTAAATATAGAGAAAACTACAAATAAGAAAGTCATTAAGAATGCTGTTGCAGGGATCCCTGGGTGGCGCAGTGGTTTGGCGCCTGCCTTTGGCCCAGGGCGCGATCCTGGAGATCTGGGATCGAATCCCACGTCGGGCTCCCGGTGCATGGAGCCTGCTTCTCCCTCTGCCTCTGTCTCTGTGCCTCTCTCTCTCTGTGACTATCATAAATAAATAAATTAAAAAAAAAAAGAATGCTGTTGCAGGGGTACCTGAGTGGGTCAGTAGGTTAAGCTTCTGACCCTTGATTTCAGGCTAGGTCATGATCTCAGGGTTGTGAGATCAAGCTCCACATCAGGCCCTGTGTGGAGTGTGGAGCTTGCTTAAGATTGTCTCTCTCCCTCTGTACCTCCTCCCTAAAAAAGAATGTGGTTACAATGATTAAGAGAAAACAAATTCTTGAACTTGGGGGCTATGGAAAAAAGAAAGAGGGCTGGGTTAAAAATATTTCTAAGGATGGTGGTTCAAGTGTTTTAGAAGAAGGAAGGGAAAATGCAGAGATCCCTTACAGATGACAAGCCTGGATGACTGGGGGATTGGGGAACCACGACCATGATGTTGGCTTTGGGAGAGGGGAGGATTACATGTATATTTTTACACATGGTGAGTACATTGTGGTGGTCAGCAGGCAATCAGAGACGTGGGTTGAGAACAAGAATGCAGATTAGAGATTTATTTACATTTTCAAGATTGCTCTAGTTAGGGAAGAAACGAGCTTTCTGGAGGAGAGAATAGATAAAAGAAGAACAAAAAAGACCAGGAGCCAGACAAGGAAAAGTCAGAACTGTTGGAGAACTTGGACTGGCCGGTCCTTGTAGTCAAGGGTGGAAGCAATTTCAAAAATGGGTTATTTGTAGCCTAAAATGTCACAGAGACCACAAAGAAGATGAGATTGAACACAAAAGATGAAGAGAAGTAATAGATGAGGTACCTAGCACAATTCTGGGCTCCTGGAAAGAACTCAGCTAACGGCAAGTATTATTAACGATGGAATGATCATTAAACATGGGAGCTAGAAAATGTTTACCAGACCCACCAAATATCTTATACAGAGTTGGAGCTTAACAAATGCACTGAATAGAATGATGAGCAATGGAATACAATAGAGAATGAATTAGAAGTGTTGATAACGTGGAAGTGTCCAACTCTTAGACCTGTCAATCAGAACCTGTCAGTTCTTGCCCTTTGGGAATATACCAGTTAGTACTCTTGGGGAGCCAGGCCAGCCATCAGGGAGCATAGTCAAGACAGGGATTGATGGAATATTCCCACTAAGATTTCCTGGCTTCTCACAGGTAGAATAGAGAACTGGCATCGAGTGTAATGAGTAACTTCAGTATCGTCAGGGAATTTGTGCTGCTGGGATTTTCACATCTCCATGAGTTCCAGATCCTCCTCTTTGCATTCATCCTATTGATATATGTGCTGACTGTGCTGGGGAACCTGGCCATTATCACCCTCACATGCCTTGACACCCGCCTCCACTCACCCATGTACTTCTTCCTCTGCAACTTCTCCCTCATGGAGATGCTGGTCACCTCCACTGTGGTTCCTAGGATGCTGGCAGACCTACTATCTACTCATAAGACCATTTCCCTGGCCAAGTGCCTGACCCAGTCTTTCTTTTACTTCTCTTTGGGTTCCACCAACTTCTTGATTCTCACAGTCATGGCCTTCGATCGCTACGTGGCTATCTGCCGCCCTCTGCACTACCCAACCATCATGAATGGTCCAGTGTGTGTGAAGCTGGTGGCAGTCTGCTGGGTGGTTGGCTTCATCTCCATCATCTCCCCCACCCTGCAGAAAACACAACTCTGGTTCTGCGGCCCTAATATCATCGACCATTACTTTTGTGACTCTGCCCCACTTCTCAAGCTTTCCTGCTCTGATACCCACCACATTGAGCGCATGGATTTCTTCTTGTCTTTTCTCTTTGTGCTGGCCACCATGATGCTGATCATAGTGTCCTATGTCCTCATTGTGGCTGCAGTGCTGCGAATCCCCTCCTTCTCTGGGCGCCAGAAGGCCTTCTCCACCTGTGCCTCCCACCTCACTGTGGTGGTTCTGGGCTATGGCAGCACCATCTTCATCTACGTGAGGCCAGGCAAGGGCCACTCCACACACCTCAACAAGGTGGTGGCTCTGATGACTGCAGTGGTGACCCCTTTCCTCAATCCCTTCATCTTCACCTTCCGGAATGAGAAGTTCAAGGAGGTCATTGAAGATATGACCAAAAGACTCCGCTTCAGAGATGCAGCAGCTCACAGATGAGAAGACCCAGGACCAGTCAAGTCACAGGAGTAAGGACCCTCCACTGCAGGTGGGCATCCCTGTTTCTCCCTGTTCTTTCACCCCCACAGAAGTCTGCTCACTCACTACAAAGAGCTAATGAGCTCACATCATCTGAATGTTTCAAAGGCAAGTATCTGTGAGCCTGAGAAAGGCAAGTATCTGTCAACCTTAGACAAGGAATAGATGATTTTGAAGGAGCTTTGGAGTGAAAACAGTATGGTAATATCAACTAAAGAGATCATCCAAATAAAACTCAGTCCAGGGCCTGGTACACAGTAAAAACTCAGTAAATGTTTCCATTATTGTAAAAATGTGCTATTAAAATCTCTCCTTCCCAGTCTGGCTGTTTAGTCTTGTTTATGTTTTCTTTTTTAAGATTTTATTTATTTATTCATGAGAGATAGAGAGAGAGGCAGAGAGACAGAGAGAGAGAGGCAGAGACACAGGCAGAGGGAGAAGCAGGCTCCATGCAGGAAGCCCGATGTGGGACTTGATCCTTGGTCTCCAGGATCACACTCTGGGCTGAAGGCGGCACTAAACCGCTGAGCCACCCAGGTGCCCCTTTGTTTATGTTCTTTGTCTGTAACTTTTTTGGAGATGTATTTCTTTCTCATGCTGGCTTCAGAATCTACAATAGGGTTATGAAAGTGGGAGGTTCTTTGAGAAGAGCCAAAAGGGCTGGGATCCCTCAAATAGAAGAAACTTTGGGCCTCCCATTGGGACCCCTTCTCTGGGATTGCTCCTGAAGTAGAAGCACTACTTACACACAAGCTGCCCACTTCTCCTGTCCAGCCCCTCAAAATCTCTTGCCTTTAAACAGAAATGACTCCTGGGGGCCACTTTCTCAGCCCCTTACACAGAGAGGTTATGAAAGCCCGAGGCCTAGACTCTCCTCATGCATTCAAGAAAGAAGGGAAAGCTAGATCATTGTTCCCAGACTGGCTGCCTTCCCCTTCACAAGCACTACTACCACTCTTCTCCTATAGAATCTTAAAGGATCCATTTCCCAGAGGAAGGGCCCTCTGAGGTTGGCTTTCCTGGAAGCAGCCTAGACAGGAGGTTACCAGGGGTCCTGGTGGTAAAGCAAAGACAGTAGAAGCCAGCTAATAAGGAAGAAACGGAGAGAGACTGGAGTTGTGGAGGGAAGGCTTTCCCTGGCAATCTAGGAATGGTTAGGAAGTCAGGCGGAGATGGTGGGAGTGGGAGTAGCTCTAGTATCTGATTTCTTGTACCAGCTTGAATTTGGACTGGGCTGGGATTTGCAGAACAGGACGAAGAATAAATGCAAACTTCTTACTTCTGAAGCTAGCTCTGCCCACAGGACATCTAGAGGAGAGGTCCTGGTCCTTATGTGCAGTGTGGATAGGCCACCCCATAGAGCCACAGCTGTGAAGAAAGGGATGGGGAGAGGGAAACATCCAGGGTGCACCACCCATGAGAATCTGGTTATGACCAGGAAGTTTGACCTCCAATTATGCTTTTTTTTTTTTTAAGCTACCATTGGACACATTCTCATCTGTGGGCCTTTCCACAAAGGGGCAGATACTTTTAATTCTGCAAAAAGGCCAGCAGGGAAAACAGTTTTCATCCTGAGAACTTTCTCTCCTCCACCTCTCAAGGGACTAATTACTTACTCTCCTCACAAACTTTGTGAGAAACTAAAGAACTAAATGGGAAGCAATTATCTCCTTCTGATATGCAAACACTTTCCTTCAGCTTTTCCTTCTAAAATAATCAGCACATAAATCCACTCAGATTTTCCTCCTGAGAATCTCCTTCCTGCTGCTACTCTCATTTCTGCACATTCTCTTAAAAAATTAAAAATAATCAGCCGTCTGCAGCCATCTATTGCCTCTTTTTCATAGCGTTGTCTTAGCAATGAGATCTCTGGTCAGATTGGGAAGGCATAGTTAGCTCAGGCCTCACGGTAATCACCCCATTCCACGGCATCCCACAGGCATGACATTCTCCATAAACTTGCCTGTGGTCCCCAGCTCCTCCAAGTGTGATCCTTGGCATAGCTTTGACATTTCCAGGAGTACAGAATGTAGGATCTCGGGCCCCACCCTGGACCTGCTGCATCAGAATCTGCATTTTAACAGGACACCTGGGTGATTCACATTCACACTGATATTTGAGAAGCGCTGATGGTCTGTTGGTGGACATTTCAGCAGGAAATTGTATAAAAAAGCCCTTGGTCTACACTGTGAAGACCACTTGATGAGCCACCCTTCCTTGAGGACTTTCACCCCAGGGCCTATTTTTTGGAGATAGTAACCAGGATTTAGGCCCCAAGATTTTCATCCTTGTATGACTTTAAACTTCTGGAGAGACTTAGGCCAATGGTCCAGTCTCTGCTTTTCTGTTAGAATCCTGTGTGGACATAACCTGGAGATGTTTTGGTTCCATACATTTGTCTTAATGTGACAGGGACCCTCGGTGTGCACAATGTCAAATGAGACTCCTGAATAAGACATATTCCAGAAAATACTGATGGTAAGCCTTTCCATCTTCCTGGAAGGAATCTGAGGACACCAGTTCTAAGTCAAAGTGGATGTAGTTAAGTCTCCCCAGGTTTAGAATCATGATGTGATGAAATCATTGGCTTTTGGAAATACAAGGGACTGCACAGGCCACCCAGGCACACCTCCTCTGGGTGCAGGCATCCCCTCTGTAGCACACTTCTCAGGTCAGCAGGAAGGCCTGCTGGGAAACAAGTCTAGGGATGGTGCACTCCCAGCTGTGAGGTGGCCCCTTTCTTTGCTGTGGTGGTCTGGAATTTTATTGCTTGTAGTTTTGAACATGAACTAAGTAAGTTCAAAAAGAGCTTAGAAAAAAAAAAGATTAAGAAAAGTTCTGTTAAAGGATAATTCCAAGACGTTTGCTTTCATAGGACTTGGCACGTATCTGACTCAAGGGAAGGAGAATGACAAGAGATGCTGGTTGAATGGAAAACAGGATCGAAGGGAATACCCAGAGGCGGAACGCTACAGTGATGGCCTGGAGCCCTCTTGAGAACTGACTGTTAAGTTTCCAGGAATGTAACATAACATTATGGAAAATTAAATGGTAGAAACTTATAATCAAACAGATTATGTTTAAAAAAAGAATAAAAATTCAAAACTCCTAATTATTTCATTATATTTTACTTTTATCTATGCTACTGAAGTTGTTTGTGTCATGTTAGTACTTTGAAACTGGATTAGATGGGGGTGAAACTGACACCAGGGCAATAGGCCAGTGCTGGACAACAGTAGATTCTCCAAGTAGAGATGGGGTCAAACGTTTACCAGCGGACCACTGGACCATTACCTCCTTTCTTCAGTATCAATGAGGCATTGTTGCAAGGAACAGATTTTACATTAAGAAATTGAAAGCTTGGGATCCCTGGGTGGCGCAGCGGTTTGGCGCCTGCCTTTGGCCCAGGGCGCGATCCTGGAGACCCGGGATTGAACCCCACATCGGGCTCCCGGTGCATGGAGCCTGCTTCTCCCTCTGCCTGTGTCTCTGCCTCTCTCTCTCTCTCTCTCTGTGTGTGTGTGTGACTATCATAAATAAATAAAAATTAAAAAAAAAAAGAAATTGAAAGCTTAACAAATTGGTGAACTAGATTGATGTGAACATGGTTCTCTATAGACAACATCGAAATTTTTCTAACTTGGCCTTACAGGGTTTTACAACCTACCAAATTTCCAAAATTCTATGTATACAGGGGCTTCACACTACCTACTGACCCCTGCAGGACCCAAGCCTGACTTTTATTTGAAAAGTGATTTAATTCCCTTATCTTCCCTCATCAAAACTTCCATACTCTTTAATTTCTTGCTCCTTGTCCTGCCAAGTGGAAGAAATAAATGTGCATTTTGGCTTCCACTGGAATTTATATGTATGGCAACTGCTTCTTATGTTAGCCATTCGGAAACCGCTATTTCTAATAGTTGCTTACTAAAACACAGTATCTCTGGGGCTGAAATGTCAGACAAATGGAGGGTTCCTTGGGGTAGGGCAGGCATTGTCATGGAATCTTGCCACTGTTTCTACCTATATTTAAATCAGTTCTAGGTGTTACAAACAATCTCATCCTCCTACCCCCCTGCAATTATGTGCCATTGAAAGCTAATCCTGTGGAGTGGGAAGGCTGCTGCCTTCTATCAAATGAATTTACTGGAATTATGTAGACAAACAACGAAATCAATGTTTCCCATCTCCTGAGTAACATGGTATTAAAAGTGTCCCCCTGCTTTTTGAAAGTTTGCATTGCACCACTTCGCCTTAACAAAAGGCCTACATTAGTGCCTGTTTTCACTAACCTAAAGAAACTGTAAGAGGATTTTCACTTCTACGAGAAAAGGTAAAAAGTGAAACTAGTGTTCAGTATTTGTTTTGCAGCAAGCTGCTGCAGGGGTAGTGCACACCCCAAGCAATGAGCGTGGCACCACCAAGCTCCTCGCCAGGAACCACACTTGGCAGCTCAGCATCAAGCTGCCAAAGATTTGAACTGAGTGAGCATCTGTGCTTTATCTCAATTTATTTTGTGCATCTGTTAGCAAGATGTGTCCTAAGATATCAGAAAAGCCTAAAAGATTATTTTTTGCATCTGGGAATGCTTAAAACATTTTCCATAAAAATTAATGGTAATTGTTTCTTTGCTTTATGCCAGTTAAACTTAAGAAAGTTTTCATAGGAATGTTCTACATTTGGATAGCAAGCAAGTGGGGGTGGGGAGAACCTATGTAGCAAAGGAAGTGTGAATCTGCCAGGCAATTAACATTATGTATGGACTGAATAAAAATATTTCTTGCATGTACAAGCATGATTTGGTATCTTTCAAATGTTTGTGATACTATTACGATAAACGAAACACAAATCTTTAAAAGTGACACTGAAGCTATAGTTGCTTTCTGACAGTATGCTTCTTTTTTTCTTTTTAAAGATTTTATTTATCCATTCATGACAGACACAGAGAGAGAGAGGCAGAGACACAGGCAGAGGGAGAGGGAGAGAAGCAGGCTGCATACAGGAAGCCTGATGTGGGACTCGATCCCGGGGCTCCAGGATCACACCCTGGGCCGAAGGCAGGAGCCAAACTGCTGGGCCACTGGGGCTGCCCACTATGTTTCTTTCAAGTGATGGATATTAAACAAACAACTATTGTTATGAAGCAGTTACTAAAATTACTGCAATTACAAGTGTATACATTGGATGGGAACTGGATGGATTTACAGTGAATAAGAGGCTAGAGGAGTCTACATGGAATGGCTTCAGATACTGGAGATTCCAACTTTTAGTTAATCCAACTTTGATCAGACTGGAAGAATTTCTGAAGATGGAGAGATGGAAAAGTTTGAAGAACCAGATTCTACTACTGTTAGTTCTGCCATGATTTTGATCAATTCTTTTTTTCCTCAACTAGATTTCCCCTATTCCTTAGTGACTCAGAACTACCCAGCTGCAGCCCAAGAATTAGCATTTCCCCTCTGGGCTCTCATGGCACTTGTTAAAAGTAAAAGAATCCTTTATCAAAATATGTTAAAATTCATTATGGTTTTTCTTCTGTCTCACAGATGGAGAAATCTTTGAAGTTAGAATTCACATTTCTTTGATCTTTAATGGCCAGTGGTAAGCAGAGTGTATTGTTCATGGTGAGTGATCAGTGAATCTTTATTTAACTGAATTATGATGAGGGTAAAATCAAGTAGAAAACACATATAAAGTGGTTTGGAAAGTGTGAAAAATATGTATATGTATATATAAGAGTAAATTATTATCAGTAAAATTATTTTTACTTTTTTCATCCTCCTTCCATTTATTCTGCAAATATTTTCTCTTTGGGGGTGGTGAGCAGAGGATAATTAGAGAAAATAAATCAATCAGAGCAACAGCAGCAGCAAGTCAGAGGAAGGGACGCCTTTTTTAGGGGAAAGACATTAGCCTGAGATGACACCGAAAATACACAATAAGAACCAACTACGGGAGCCATGGCTCCAGAGCTAGACACTCTGTATCCATCACACGAGCCCACAATTCCCTGCCTTGTTTATTTCCACATAGTAGACTTGTAAAAATCTTGACATTTTTGGTAAATTATAGTTTTTCTCTTAAAATAAGGGGAGTTAGGAGTACTCTCATCGTAGTTTTCTGGGAAATATAGTTTGGTAAATTAAAGTGTATTTGCAGAGACAATTTGGCAGAATATATATATAAAAATATAAAATATATTTTTTAAGTAGGTTCCACGCCCAGAATGGAGCCTAACATGGGGCTTGGACTCACAACTCCAAGATCCAGATCTGAGCTGAGACTTTTTTTAAAAATTTTTGAACAGAACTCTATTTAGAAGAATTGAAGCACATGATATGAGAAACCAGACATTTGGAGTAAGGTCAGAGCCCATTCAACAGAAATTCAGCACTGTTGGGGTCCCATTTTTTTTAATAATAAATTTATTTTTATTGGTGTTCAATTTGTCAACATACAGAATAACACCCAGCGCTCATCCCGTCAAGTGCCCACCTCAGTGCCCATCACCCAGTCACCCCAAACCCCCACCCACTCCCCTTCCACTACCCCTTCTTCGTTTCCCAGTTAGGTGTCTCTCATGTTTTGTCATCCTCACTGATATTTTCACTCATTTTCTGTCCTTTCCTTTTATTCCCTTTCACTAATTCTTATATTCCCCAAATGAATGAGACCATATAATATTTGTCCTTCTCCGATTGACTTACTTCACTCAGCATAATACCCTCCAGGTCCATCCACGTTGAAGCAAACGGTGGGTATTTGTCGTTTCTAATGGCTGAGGAATATTCCATTGTATACATTGACCACATCTTCTTTATCCATTCATCTTTCGATGGACACCGAGGCTCCTTCCACAGTTTGGCTATTGTGGACATTGCTGCTAGAAACATTGGGGTGCAGGTGTCCCGGCGTTGAGCTGAGATTAAGAGTCAGACACTTAACAGACTGAGCCACACAGGTGCCCCCTGTCAGAATATTTTAATTTGGGGCTGTTTTAGAAAATCCAGGATAGGTGAAAGCTAAGAAAAAAACCATGACTTGGGCAGCCCGGGTGGCTCAGGGGTTTAGCACCTCATTCAGCCCAGGGTGTGATCCTGGAGATCTGGGATGGAGTCCCAAGTCGGGCTCCCTGCATGGAGCCTGCTTCTCCTTCTGCCTGTGTCTCTGCCTCTCTCTCTCTCTGTCTCTCATGAATAACTAAATAAAATCTTAGCAAACAAAGCCATGAGTCTGGGGTCAAAGTAACAAATAGGGCTTTTTTTTTTTTTTAGATTTATTTGAGGGAGGGGAAGAGAGAGAGATAGAGAGAAATATGTCAGTGGGGAGGGCCAGAAAGAACCTTGAAGCAGACTCCCTGCTAAGTGTGGAGCCCAAGGTAGGGCTCAGTCTCATGAACCATGAGATTGTGACCTAAACTAAAACCTAAAGTCAGCTGCTCAACTGACTGAGATACCCAGGTGCCCCAACTGGAGGGCTTTTAAAATTGCAGATTATAGTTAGGAACGAAGGGCAGTGGAGCTGAGGTTTCATCCCAAAGCTTTCAGGAATTTAACACACACACACACTCTCAATCTCTCTCTCTCTCTCTCTCTCTCTCTCTCTCTCCCCTGGGCTGGATAATATGTCTTGATCAGGGAATACTTCCTGCTGTTCTTCAATGGAAAACTCATGTATTTTCTGGTACTGAAAGTCTTACTTCTGGATCCCCAGGATCTGGGCTATTTTTAGAGTTCTTATAGCTGCCATTGAGTGTGGGGAGCACTTCCATGGTGGCCTGTGAGAGCCAGACACTGAGCACTGAAGATTCCCTGTAGTTATCACACAGAAGCACAGAGGAAACAACCTGAAGAGATTCAGCAGTGGTCTTCCCACCCAGCCTCGTGTTTTGCCTCCTATCCTCATAGACCTGCTGGACAGAAGTTGGCCAGTTTCCTCAGGCTCATCATAGTCCCTTGTGGAGGCCTTTAAGCCTCTGTATCTGCCCCTGTAGCACTGCCTTGACTGTCTCATTGCGGAAGGTAAGGATAAAGGGATTGAGAAAGGGAGTGACGACCGATGTCACCAAGGCTACGGTCTTGTTGACTTCCACAGAATGTGCTTTGCCAGGCCTGACATAAAGGAAGATGGTGCTGCTGTAGCCAATGAAGACAAGGGTGAGATGTGACCCACACGTAGAGAAAGCCTTATGGCGGCCACTAGCAGACGGGATCCTCAGCACAGTGGTCACAATATAGCCATAGGAGATGAGGGTCACTAGGAAGGAACTGAGGACAAAGGCCAAGGCCATCACAAAGTCCCAGAATTCCAGCAGCCTGGTGTCTGAGCAGGACAGCTGCAGCAGAGGTGCATTGTCACAGAAGAAGTGGTTAATGATGTTGTTATGGCAATAATTGAGATAAGCCCGGGAGAGGACAGTGGGCACCATGGCCAGGAAAGGAGCTGCCCAGGCAACCCCTGCCAGCCGGACACACACAGCCCAGCTCATCAAAGTGCCATAGCGCAATGGGTGGCAGATGGCCATAAAGCGGTCAAGGGCCATGTCTGACAGGATGAGGAAGGAGGTGGAACCCAGGGAAAAGTAGAAGTAGAACTGGACCATGCAGCCATTGAAGGAAATGACTTTGTGGGAGGTCAGCAGGTCTGAGAGCATCTTAGGCACTGCTGTCATGGTTACCAAGATCTCCAGCAGTGAAAAGTTACCCAGAAAGAAGTACATGGGCGTATGTAGGTGGGTGTTTGCTATGACCATGACTATGATGACTGTGTTTCCCACGAAGGCAAGAAGATAAAGCATGAGTAATGGTCCATACAGCAGAACCTGAAGCTTGCCAAAGGAGGAGAAGCCCAAGAGGACAAATTCAGAAGGGTGGCTCAGATTTGCCATGATCCAGGAGCTGGGTCCCTGCATAGAAAGGAAACAAGAGACAGAGATGGTAAGACAGAGAGAAAGGGTATCATTGACCATAAAACAGAGAACAGGGAGAGCAAGACAAAGTCAGTGGTTAGTAATAGAAAGAGAGATAGCTACATGGAAACATGAGAGAATCAGAGACTTAGGGGGTCTTAAAACATGGAAAGCCATTAATAAGGAGAGAGACAGAGAGGAGTGGATTAAGGAAGACAATAAAGTGGTGGACATCAACATTTTAGGAGAAGGAAAGAAGGAAACAAAAGAAGAACACAGAATTAAAAGAGGGAGACCAAATGTGTGAGAAGGAGAAACAGAAAAAGATAAGGAGGGGAGGAAACATGGAAAGAGAGAATTCTTGTAAGTCACCCTGAAACCCTGGGGCATAGGTTGGTGCTGGAGGTGTCTGTGTCGTGACTCAGAGACTATGCACCAAGATTCCTTTTGGAGGGCCTCCTCAAGTCTTTCTGGGCTGTCTCTCTATTGAAGAGCCTCATTCATTCACATTTCTCTAGCTATGATCATGAAATTAGTGGAAAGTCAGAGTTTTGAATTAATAAATTAGCTTTCTTGGGGGGAGGGCTCTAGTATGTGCTTGCCAAGATGAAGAGTTGAAAAGATACAACAGGGTCATGGAGATAAGCCTCAGAACCAGGTGACTATCTTACCAGTGACTAGAAAATCATTAGCATCTTGGGCAGCCCAGGTGGCTCAGCGGTTTAGCGCCACCTTCAGCTCGGGGCGTGATCCTGGAGACTCGGGATCGAGTCCCACGTCAGGCTTCCTGCATGGAGTCTAATTCTCCCTCTGCCTGTTTCTGCCTCTCTCTCTCTCTCTCTCCTCTCTGTGTTTCTCATGAATAAATAAAAATAAAATCTTAAAAAAAAAAAGAAAATCATTAGCATCCTACCTCATGGTGTCGCTTTGCTCCTGCAGCATCTCCCCTCCCCTCCTGACTCCATCATTCTTACATGGTGGTTTGGGGCACAAGCTATGAACCTGTGTTTGAATTCTGAGCTGAAACTTATGTGTGGAACATAAATCTGCTCTTTATAACATGTTCTCTGAACTTCAGTTTACTCAGCTATAAAATGAAGACCAATGATAGTACTGGCTTCGAGGGCTATTGCAAAGATTAAATGGGTGAACTACCTAGTAAGTGACTGGCACATACCAAGTGCTCCACAAACCACTGTTGTCATTGTTATTGTTATTGTATGACCTCACATTTTTCTGGCCCATCATCTCTCCACACTTCTTTAGGTCCAACATGTGGAGTGTGTAAATGTGTGTGTTTATGTGTATGTACATATTTCCACAACTTTAGGCTCCCTTAGAATTTAAGTTCAAGTTCGCTAAAAGGATGCTTTAAAAAACTTCTGATTAAGTTTATTTAATAAACACTATATGCAAACTGTCAGAAGTGGAACGACCAAAGCTGTATATAGTTATACTCTGGCCCTACAAAAGTTTCGCCTGATGCTGTGACTTGGCCACTAGCAATGACATTCCAATTTAAAGAAGAGGCTTTGTCCCTCCGTTAGCTTCCATCCATTCTACTGATAAAGCCTAACAGTAGGTCTACAATGTACATCCAGCACTGATAAATTCAGACCCCATCTTATGCCTGTGCTGCACAGGAGCACATATGCAAGCCACTCACTTTAGCCTCTAAGTGTCTTACTGAGCTGCTCACATTAAGAAATTCATGTCTAGGGATTTCTGTCTAATCAGGTCACTCCACCTAACTGGTTCACCGAGATATGTGGCTCGCTGCTCTTGGGTACTGTTCTACAGTTGGCAGGAGTGGAAAGGGACTTCTGTACAGTTGGAATGGTACTGCTAGGTGAGTGGCTCTACAAGCTACAATATCTCCAACCCTATGCTAATTTCCTAAATTAAAGGCTTACCCTGTGTCACCACAAAGCCCACGGCAGCAACATTGGTGAGAGGCAGGAACATGGAAAGGAAGTTCTTCTGGAGACCAGAGGGGAAAGGTGCTGTCTTTGCCCCTTTTCTCTCAAGGATGAGTGTTCTTGGTTCTCTCTACCCATCATGTCTCCAAGTTCCTGGATTCTCAATGTGATTTAGAGGTGAGCTTATACTGGCTGGGAAACAGACTCCAGCAGGGTGTTCTTCAGGGGAATGATGAGAAAACAAAAAGTCCTCTGGGGATTATAAGCCACTGGTGTTATTCCTTAGAATAATGAGAAGTCTTGTGTTTTAAGGAAGTAATATTTGAGATAAAGATCTGATGAAGAAAGATATACCTAAACAGCTGATGGCTTAAGTTGATTCCATGGCGGTGCCTGCTCTCTGACCCTTCCTGGACTGGAATTATGGCAGACTGGGTAGGCAGTCAGGGTTAGACAGATTTTTCATTTGGAGATTTTTCTCTCCCTCCCAGATCCAGGATTTTGAAATCAGGCGAAGTAGGAAATGTAAGCACTAGATCACATGGCCCTCTTGTTGGAATTCTCTACTGTCATTTGCAGAAGTTGGAGAATCAAAACAGTAAGATTAAAAGAGATATCTTCCTCTTGGAGACAGAGGCCCTGATAGAAACATGTTGGGAACTGGGCAGCCTGAAGGGCCTGTCTCTAGCTTTTATGAGAAGATGTACACCTTAGGTATGAAGGTAAATGCAATATGATAGATGATCAAGCTCCCCAGTTAACTCTGAGTGACAATCCTTCACCTCAGAGAGGTTCAGGCTTTGTGGATGTCACTTAGCCCCACCCACAGACAACTAGTAACAAAGAGACATGAAGCAAAAATCTTCCCATGAAGATGATGCAAATGGGTCCCAAATGTTTAAGACCCAAAGGGCTGGACAGAGTTGGCCTGACAATCTTTCTGTAGGACCTGAGTCTGCAACTGAGTTTTCAGGACAGAGCTTTGATTGCAAAGAAAAGTTTAGGTTATTCTGGACAGAAATAGGATATGGTGATAGAAAGGAGCATTTTGCTCCTCCCTCAACACTAGTATTTACTATTAAAATCAATTGAAGATACGTGTTTGAGTCTGCCTGAATTCTCTGTTCCATTTCATCGGTGTATATGTCCACTGATCTACATGATATTATGTCAATAACACACTCTCAATTATTGTAGCTTTATAGTAAGTCTTTGAATAAGGTTTGTGAGGCTCCAAGCTTTGTTCTTTTTAAAAAATCATTTGTCTATTCTAATCCTTTATATTTGCATATAAATCTTAGAGTCAGTTTTTCGATGTTAAAAGAAGAGGCTCCTATGATTTTGAAATTTTGTTGAATCTTTAGACTAAGAAAGAATTGGCTTTCTAACAAAATTGGGCCTTCTGATTCATGAAAACAGAAAATTTTTTTCATTTATTTAGGTCTTCTTTAATTTCTCTCAGTAATGCTATATGGCTTTAATTCTTGCACATAGTTTGTAAAATATATGCCTTAGTTTTTCAGTATAACAGATTTTTGTATATTTAGCTTTTGTCCTGTGACCTTGATAATCACTTACTAGTTCTAGTACTTTTTTGTGGACTTCTTTTTTTTCTTTTAAGATTTTATTGGGATCCCTGGGTGGCGCAGCGGTTTGGCGCCTGCCTTTGACCCAGGGCGCGATCCTGGAGACCCGGGATCAAATCCCACGTTGGGCTCCCTGCATGGAGCCTGCTTCTCCCTCTGCCTGTGTCTCTGCCTCTCTCTCTCTCTGTGACTCTCATGAATAAATAAATAAAATCTTAAAAAATATTTTATTTATTTATTCATGAGAGACACAGAAGGGGAGGCAGTGTTAGAGGGAGAAGCAGGCTCCCCATGGGGAGCCGAATGCAGGACTCCATCCCAGGACTCCAGGATCATCACCTGAGCCAAAGGCAGATAGTCAACCACTGAGCCACTCAGGCTCCCCCTTTTTGTGGACTTCTTAGGATATTTTTTACAGATAGGATTATGTAATATGTAAATACACAATTTATTTCTTTATTTTCTAACCACATGCTTTTAATTTCATTATCTTGCTTTATTGCATTAGCAAACTTCCAGTATAATATTGAACTGAAGTGAGAACAGATATCCTTGCCTTCCTCTCCATCTTCCCTAAAGGGAAAGTATTGAGCCTTTCATTATTAAATTTCATTGTTAGTGCTAGGTTTTATGTGATATGCTATTTATAGTTTGAGGAAGAATTTCTTTTGTTTCCATTTTTTTTCAGGTTTTTAAATTAATGAATGTTAATTTTCATCAAATACTTTCTATGCTACTATTGAAATGATCATGTGGTTTTCTCTTTCATTTTCTCTTTCTTTTCTCTTCCATTAACACGGGAAATTATATTGATTAATCCTAAAATGTTAAACAATATTTTCATTTCTGGAGAAAAGTCATGACTTTGTTATAGTATACTATTATTTTTACATATTGCTGGGTTTGGTTTTCTAATATTTTATTAAGGATTTTTGCATCTATGTTCACTGGGAATATTGTTTTATAGATTTATTTTCTTGTGAAGTCTTTGGTATTAAGATAATTCTGGACTAAAAAGATGAATTGGGCAGTGTTCTAATTTTCTAGAAGATTTTGTGTAGAATTGGTATTATTATTTCCTTAAATATATATTTTTAAAGGTTTTGTTTATTCATTCATGAGAGACACGGAGAGAGAGGCAGAGACACAGGCAGAGGGAGAAGCAGGAACGCGCGGGGAGCCCGATGCAGGACTCGATCCCAGGACTCTGGCATCACACCCTAAGCTGAAGGCAGATGCTCAACGGCTGAGCCACCCAGGCATCCCACTTACTTAAATATTTGACAGTGTGCACTAGCAAAGTAATCTGAACCTATAGTTTTCTAGGTGAGAAGATTTTAAATTATGCCTTCAATTTATTGAATGTATTTAGGAATTTTCAGTTGTTTAATGTCTTTTTGAGTCAGTTTTGGTAATTTTTATCTTCCAAAGATTTTCCATTTCCTCAGTTTTCCAATTGATTTCTCTCTTAAGATATCTTAATTTTGTCCTCTTCAATTTGAAAGTTAGAT